TGAGGGGCAAAACGATGTGGATATGGAATCGGATGAAAGTGAGTGAACCCACACACCACTTTCAGAAGGTAATGGGGGTTAGGGAAAGGTAAGGGAATTACATTGGTTTTGATTCCTCTTCTGCAGCTTTAAGAGGATATGGTAAGCAGCTTATCTCTAAGTAAACACCCTTTTTCCTACTATTGTCGATGTTTTGAATGATTGGGTCAGATGATGTTATTTGAGGATATACTGGCACCTGATTCTCAAGTGTTTAAACCCATTTCCTACTTTTGTCAAGTTCAATTCTAATTCATCTTCTTTTTTTTTTGTGTGTTGGTTAGAATTATTTGTGGGGTGGTGTTGTTTGATTTCGGAAGTAAAGTTTTCAAACCAGCAACTGTTGCTAAGGAAACTAATTTTTTTCCGGTGAAACGGCACTGCTGCAAAAATTGCATATGCAAGGGCAAATCCAGTTTCCAGTAAAGCAAGAGCAGCTCTCACAATGTCCCCTAAGCACATTCATTTCACAACACAAAAGTTGTTAAAACGAATGAGTTTGTGTGGTACAACAAAACTAGGACTTTCCTTTTTTCCTTTTGCAGTTAGCCGACTTAGGTTATGAATTTCGAAAATCATGTACAACAACTTTTATTAACATAATGTGCCATTGGGAGGCGTTGTCTGTTTGCCGGCAGTCAAATTGGTCGCTTTATTTTTTATTATATAATTGATGTAATATAACGTAAATTGGTCAAACCAGTCAACGGTCCCCGATTACTTGGAGACCTCGACCTCCACCCCTCCTGCCGCCGCCTCACAATGCATTGCCTCTTTCATCAAATTCCGAGACAACATCACAAGGACTTCTTTGACAGTTTCTTCTGACTCCAGAGCAGGCGGCGTCTCTCCACCTGTGGAGTTCGTCTAAGTGTGATCATATGTTGTGTTGTGACAACAACCCATTGTTATGTATTTTCAGAGAATAAACAAATGGCTGAATTTTGGAAAATAAGCCAATTAAATGGACGTTTGCAGATTGAGTGAGCCATTGTTGTGTATTTTTCAGAAAACAAACAAGTGACTGGATTTTGAAACATAAAGTAAATAAATGGGCATTTGCGAGGCAAGTGAGGAGGGGAAAGAGACATATAATGCTGTGTCTTGTTAGATACATTCTTTATATTTTTTTATTTGATGTTCTATTATTTGGAAAACTGAGTATCGCTTGTTTGCATATTGAACACATGTTCATCACTGATGGGTCTCTTCTCAGATCTGGACGATCCAATGGGAAAACGTTCGGATCTGGGATGAACCGGTGTGAATGAGCTCAGATCTGATTTGATGGCCTTCGAACCGTTGTTGAGCCGCAAGAACACCTACAAGAACTCAACGCCGGAGGGGTTTCCGGCGTAGAGCCTCCGACGCTCAAGTCAGTATGTGAAAGGGATGAAGATAGCTGCTCCGAGAGAGCAGCAACAACAATGGAGAAGAAATGTAGAATGAATGGGAGTTAGGGTTTTGGGATTACCTCAGTCCTTTATATAGAAGTGCAACATTTACCTGAAGTCCCCAAAATGCCCCGGCCGACTTACTGGAAATGTCCAAAATACCCTGGTCGGTTCGCATTCCGCCCACTTCCTAGTCAGCATCTAGATCCTTCCTTAGCTTTCCTCTTATCCTTAACTTTCTCTCGATATGCTGAGGTGTATCAAAGTTGTCGAGATCTATGATCTGCAAGATCCTTTCAGTCGACCTGAGATATCGACTCGGGTCTACTGGATCGTATTCAACCGCTAGTGAATCCTGATACGTCTGACCATCGTCCTGGAAGAAATCGACTTGTGCTAGTCGACATGTGTACGTCGACTTAGACGAGAACCGGGATCCTTGACTGAGTATCATGAAGAGCCTTATTGGCGGAGTCGACTTTGCTAAAGTCGACTTGATAATCTCTGAACCGTGATGATATGGACCGTTATGAGCCAGTGTGGCTATATCATCTAGTCCCCCACAAAAATTACTCGAAGCGATTCTGAGCTTAAGAGTAAGTTTTGGCGGTCGAATGTCTTCCTCGAGTCTTTTCTCATATTCTGTCGCCTGTCACTATCCTAAACTGTACCCGCTTGTTTTTTGCGACTTGCAAAGTGATGTTTACCCAATTGTATTTCGAATTGATTGGATAAGTCTGGGTCTTTTCAAATTTCAAAATTCAAAAGATAAGGCACTTTCTCTCTCCACCGCTTCGTATTTCGTGCACTATCTTAACCGTTGAAAATGACTTTAATCTGAGGGCTGGAGCTTCTCTGCCTTCTCTATAAATACTCCTCCCCTTTTCTCGTCTTCACTTTTCGCACTCATCTTCTCTGAGCTTTCTGTTTTCTCCGGCAAACACAGCATTTCAAGCTTCCCGGCGCTCTTATTTTCCGGCGTCCTTCTCAGATTTTTCAGGACTTTCCGTCAACCATCATGAGTATGAGTAAGTTTTCTTTGCATGTTCGACTTGTTTTCGTGTTTTGAGATAAGAACGCCTTTTATTTTTCTGGGTAAATTATCTGGGAATAAGAACATCTTTCATTTTCTGGGAATTGCATGTGAATCCTCTTGGCGATTTTCCTGTTAGATTTTTTATTGTAGGCTTTTTATCTCTTCAAGTGTTTTCCTTTGTTAATCGTCTTGTTATGAGAGATCGACTTTTTTCCTTTACTGACTTGGTCTTCATTTGTCGAGTCGAACCGACATGGGAAATATTTTTTCTTGTTTCTTCTCCCCTTCTTCCCATTGTCGAGACGCTTCTCGTGCTATCCTGGCTATTTTGTTGACCCTTCTCTTTGGATCGAATCACGGCCACGCTTTCTAATATTTTTTCTTGATTGTCGTTCTCTTTTTCTTCTTCGATTCCAACCTCGACCCTGTTTCTGACCCCGTCTCCGGTTCTCTTGCCAGTGAAATCGATAACTATTCGGGTTCGGACTCTGTTCACCCAAACGATGTCGAACCATGTTCTCGTCGGAACGTTGAGCCGGAGGGCTCTGTCGATTCCAATGCCTCACCTTTCGGTATCGATTGGGCTATGTACAATCAAGCGTTGCTTTCGGGCACACTTTGTGAGGATCCCAAAGTTCTCCAAGTCCTTGAATCCTCTTATCCCGACTTGACTCGAGGTATTTTCCGTTAGGTTCTTCTAGACATCCTCATATATGCGGCCAGCCCTATTCCTTTACTTGATAATGACTCCCTTTAATCGAGTCCGTAACTAATAGCATGTTCCGTGGTAAAGTTCTTACTATCGTTCTATTATGCTCCTGCAGCCGAAATCGATGGCTTCAGAGAGTTCAGCGGCCTTCCCTCTGATTGGACTGTAGTCGCTCCTAAACCCGAAGACGACTTCCGTCGCCCTCTTAAAGGTTGTTTTACCTTTTTCGTGGATCAAATAATGTCGGGCCTGCGTTTCCCGATTCAACCTGAGCTGCTATCGTTAAGCAACCTTTT